AGGTTTAACAGAGGTAGCACCGAGATTAGCAAGGAACAGCTCCAGATTCCAACACCCCCGCAGGAGACACCCCATCCCCATCCCCTCTCCCCTGCCCCAGCCCTGCAAGGAAGGGAGTGGAGACAGCCAGACATTTCACTAGCCATGTACCAAAACCCATAGCACCCCCTCTCCCCTAGCCTGGCAGCCAGTGCCAACCCCTCCCACAGCCCAGCCCTACAACCTGCCCCCAGCCTTTCCATTCAATGACACCGGCCCAAGTCCTGAACCCAGACAGGGGCTATCGAGCTAACCCAGCCTCTCCCCCGCACCCCATCCCCCTTCCTCCTCCAAGTGCTCCTGTTTGCGAACAGTGGCGCACCAGTCCCTCCCAGGCTCGCTAGTTACCTAACCAACCAATCCCCGACGCAAAATGAACGCCCCCTCCGGGTCCCCCCCCCTTCCAAGTAGGGGCAGGGCGGGATGGCTCCCCTCCCCCACACTCCGGCACATTCCTTCGGCCCTCCGTCCTCGCCCCCCCACCAGAAAGCAGGATGCTCCAACATAAACACATCCCGCCCAGCCAGCCTGCTCCAACGCCCACAGCAGGGATGGAAAAGCTCCCACTGAGTTCACTGGCCATTGGAACAAGGCCACTGGCCCTCTCCCTGTCCAGCCAGCACCCTTGTTAACACCTCATGGATGGGGCAATATCCCCCCCACCCCCTCAGGTAAGAGAGGAATGTCTGCACCCAGGGTGGGAATGGTGGTGCTCGGTCCCAAGGGATCCTGCCAGTTCCCCCAGGGATTCTGCTGCCCTAGATCCTTTGGGAAGCCAGGAAGGGGCGGAGGAGAACCACCAGCAGCAGGGACCCTGCAGGCTGTTGCCAAGTCAGGGGAGGGAAATCTAATTTACTGTCTCCGAATCCAGCCCTGGAGATACAGGGAGCGCGTCCCTGCCGATTCCCAGAAATGCGGATGACTCACAGAACGTTGCATTCCCTCCTCTCTCCAAGCGCCTGCCCTGATGTAACCTTTGCCTCCCCCCCACCGCCCAGCAGGGGATGAGAACAGGGTGGGTGCGAGTGGATGGATGGATGGCTCAGCAGGGAGGCACCCTGACACCAGCGCAAGAGGAGACTGGTACTAACGCGGGCTGGGAGGGGGCAGGAAATCAGAGCCTTCCCCCCCATGTTATTGGCAAGACTGTCCTCTGCCCTGGTTACTCAAGCGAATACAGCACCCCACGCAGGGCAGAGCCCCCTTCCCACAGGGCAGGGCCCAGCGCCCCACAAAACACAGGCTTGATGCTATGGGTCAGCCCAGTTCAGAGCCAGAGGAGAGAGGCCGGTCCAAACCAAGGGGAAGCAGAGGGGGAAGGAAACAGCCCCTGCCCTCCCCCAAAATAGGCTTAAAAACCTTCTCTCCAGCTGCACACAGCTGGAGCAGGCAGCTGGAACCCTGACGCTGGCTCCCACACTCCACCAGACACTGCCGCTGAGGGATTTTCCATCCAGAGGAAGGAAAAAAAGAGGCGGGGGGAAGGGAGGGCGAAGTACCAAAACACAAAAAACTTCCACCATTGAGAAATAACATTCCTCCTGGCAGAGCCACCTAGTGACCTCAGACCCAGAGCCAGGCCCTGGATCCGCGCTGCTGGGCCTTCCAATGGAAGCAGAGATCCCTACCCTCTTTGGCAGGGTCCGGGATGGTGCCTTGCGCCCCAGAGACACCAGGACCCTCTTCCCCAAGACCGGCAGGCAGGCTCAGCTACGCTGGGGTGGAGAAGGTTGCATGCATGGCTGAGGCTGCTGGACAAGGCGCAATACCCCTCCACCCCCCCAGCAGCTCTGCTGAGCAGGAGGGCAGCCCCCCTGGGAAAGAGGCATCATCCGACCCCTTGAATGTTGCAATGAGCTTTGGCAGGAAGTTTATCGGCAGCTACCAGGACATCAGCAGTGCCATGGGAATCCAGCCCCTAGCTTGGGGTAAGCACCACGCCTCCTGCCCGGTAGTCATTTCCTTAAGGTACCGAGGGGAAGGCTTAGATGGCATTTTCTCCCCCACCCCCCAGAGGAAGTCTAATAGCAGGGAGATCTGCTGTGCTCCGAGAGCCCTACGCAGGCAGAACCAAGGCGAGAAGCATGAATGAGAGGCGTGGTTTCCTGTCCCCCGCCCCCAGGTGCTGGCTATGCCTCTGTGCTCAGAGAAGGCTTCCTGAGGCAGAGATCCTGTCAACAAACCTAGGGGGGGCATGGAGGGGGGGGTCACCACTTCCCAGCCTTGGCGTCCCACTCGTTTTACTGCAGTAGGGAACAGAGACTAGAGGCATGTGAGGCCTTTTCCGGCTTCAGCTTCTGTGAGAGAGAAAGGGATGGGGGTGTGAGGGTGGGGGGAGTGAAGCTTCGACTGGGGACCTGAACTTTGCATCCAAGGTGCATGGGACACAGACTGACCCAGGGGAGCCTACATCTCTGCAATTCAGCGCCTCTAAGGAGCTACCTTCTAACCCCCTCACCACCCCCCTGCACTTCTGGCGGTCTGCTACCAACAAGCCACAAAGGAGGAATAAACCCTTTCGCTGCGAGGCCTGGAATGCACCAGACTCCATCCTGCAGACACAAGCACGGTAATCAAAGCCAGCCCTGCTCTGGGCAGGTCGGCCAGCTCCCCCCCACTCCCCCCTTCCTTAAAGCAGCCACCACTCCCCCATTACCATGTTGGCTGGGCGATCACACAAGTTTTCAAGATGAGACAACGCACGCACACACCAACCACGCAGGAGGACCCCGCCCCAGCCTCTTTGCCGGCTCTGCCCCTGCCCACCCTCCCAGGGCATGAGACAGCAAGCCCCAGCCAGGAATCTTAGCCCGACCCAGGAGGATTCCTGCCCTCTGCCCCTCCCAGGCCTAGAAAGAGGCATTGTGCAGGGAGATTCCTATGCTGCTCTGGGCTCCTACCCAGGCTGCAACTGGAGTAACAGCCCTCCATAGAATGCTAACAGGGAGCGTCTCACGCCCCGTGTGCTCGGCCCCCACCCTGAAAGGGGGGACAATTCTGAGACTATCCCCGAGACAGGTGAGGGGTGGACGGGGAAGGTCTCAACTGACCAGACACCAAACCAAGCTGAGGAACTGGGACCCAAAGCCTTCTGCCAGAACAAACCACGGTGCCACTAGCGTTTCACCAATGCCCCATGCCAACCCAGAAAAACACTCTTGCCCACAAGCCACGTAGCAGACGGCCTACAGCCCTTTGCCAGAACCCAGGAGTTCACTGGCTAGAGTCACAGGGAAGCCACATCCGAGCGCAGGGGATGGGGTGCTCTGTTGCCACTGCAGGAAGTCGGGGAACCCTCCAACCCCAGAAGCACCCAGCTGACTTTGCAGCTCAGCGAGCAGCGCGTTAATGGGCCATACAGAGTCAAGGTTGCCCGCGGGAGGGCCAAGAGCATCCAGGTTGCCAAGGCCATTCCTCGCTCCAAGGTGACTTGAGGGAGAGCTGCGCAGTGCATGGAGGGGCTCGGTGGCTCCGCCACCCTTCCAGGGGCCTGGTCCTAGAAAAGCACTAGGTGCCCAGCAGCAGAGTCCTGACAGGCAGGGCTGCAAGGAAGCCCTGCAGCCCACCTCCTGTGTTTTTCCCACCCACTCAGATCCAGAGGAGAGCATTTAAAAAGGTACCAAGCAGGGATGGGCATTAGCATGTGTTTGCCCAGAGCTTGGGGGATGGAAAGTGGCCCCCAGCACTATGCTGGTGGCTCAGAATTAAACTAGGGACTTAAAAAGTCTTTTAAAAATAAACTCAAGTGCTAGCCAGGGCGGAAGGAGAGAGGTTTTTTGTTTGTTTGTTTTTAAAAAGAGACCAAAAACAAAGAAGCAGGAGCTGCTCAACTTTAAAGCCAGAGGGAGGTGAAGAGGTGAATTCCACACCCAGCTGCAGTCTGCCATTTCCTTCCCTCCCCACCTCCCCCCAGACACACATCAGAGGGTCACCCAGCAATGGGAGGGTTTCCTTGAAGCGCAAGCCAGGGGTAGGGAGAAGAAGAAGGGGAGGAAAAAAAAAAAAGACACCCTCCCCCTCTTTGTCTGATTAGCAACCTCTCGCCTTTGGGAGCGCAGCCAGTGATCCTAACCCAGAGACACCTCCTGCCCCCTCCCCAGCCATACGCTCAAGACCACGGTGCAGACATTCGAAAGCTGCTGCAGCCGGTTTTCCGGAAGGGCCGCTCAGGCCCTGGGAGAAGAGCCCCCCCGCCACCACCACCTTCTTATGATCTGAAGGGGCAAACCTCCAACACAAAGCTGTGTCCTGGTAGGATCCGCATATACACACGCCCCCCCCCCTCCCGATTCTGCAAACAATAGCAAGAGGCCGTCTTCCCTCACGCAGGAAAGGCAACTGTTAGGGTAGGAATCCTGCTTTTGTCTTTAAATTGGGGGATGGGGAAAATCAGTCCCAAAATACACCCGCTGTGTCGAGAATGGGGACCCCCACATCGCACCTTGAGGTCAGGACCTTAGCCTAGACCCTTCACTGTCCTTTGCCTCGGTTTCCCCTCCCACTGACTGTTTAGGCCAGTGGTTCTCAACCTATTTACCATTGTGGGCCGCACCTGCAGCTCTCTGTGTGGTATGTGGGCCGCATCCACACAATATATACACACACATGACCTGTATGGCCCCTGAGGATGTCACGTGGGTCGCAACTGGGTGCTGATTGGGCTGCAGGTTAGGAACCCCTGATTTAGGCTGAACTCTTCAGGGCAGGGACTGTCTCTCCCCAAGTGTTTGTGCAGGGCCTGGCTCAGCGGGCCCGGCTCAGCAGGGCCCTGATTTGGATCATGGCCTTTTGGCAGTACAGTAACAAATCCCTTCACCACAGATACAGGCCTCTAGGTTTCTCTGTTGCAAAATCTCTAGCTTTCAGTACATCCAGGAAGCTGTGGGGGGAGGAGGTCAAATACAAGCCCCCTGCAGAGAAATCTTTGCCCATGTCAATGCACCAATATTTCGGCATCTCACCTGAGTTTCAGTTAAGCTTTCCAGAGCCTGCATCACCGACTGTTCTGGTCTGGATGCCTGAGACTGAAAGAAAAAATAAAAAAGGGGGTGTGTGCGCGCGTGTGGCAGGGGGGTGGATTGCAGGTCACTTTCACTATTTATACACCGAGCTACCGAGCAACCAATGAAATATTCAACTTGCTGGCGTTCCCAGTGCCAGCGACAACCCCCCCCACCCCCCCCCAGGACAAAGGGGTTTGTGTCGGAGGAAGTGGCATCGATTCTGCTGAGCCAGATCACATTCTAGCCCTTTAATAATAGATGAGACGAGTGCGTGTGTGTTGGGGGGGGGGGGAGAGAATAAAAAGGCCATTTACCATCAAGCCAGCTTCCACTGTGGGGACAAGCGTCAGTTTGCTTCCTTCCACGACCCCCAAATCCTGCAGCTTTCCAGAACTGAGACGACTGCAGAAGGGAAAAGACATAGACCGAGAGAAGGACATCAGACTTCGAGCAAAAAGGGACAGTTAACGGAAGGGGGCCTGGTTTGCTTTAGAACCCAACCCGGGTACCCTCCTTAGCTCCCTCATTGCTCCCTGGAATCTGAACGGCCTAGGCCGGGGGGGGGGGGGAATACAGGTTCAGCGGTGGGGTTTTCATTTCCATTTAACACAATGCCCCCCCCCAGTTATCTTTACCCCCTGAATCTCATTCCAGCCCCTGCCCCCACAACGTCCAATTGTGTCTGTGTCTCTCCCCCTCCAGTTTATCATGTAAACATTCTTTCCGAGGGGCAGGAGGCAGGGAATGATGCTGCAGTAATCAGTCAAGCAGCCATTGGCACTAACTCGTGCAGTGTCTGTAGCTTTTGTGTCTAACAAAACCTTCCCCATAGGACAGGCAGAATTCAGATGACTGGGGGTGGGGGGCAGGGAGAAGAGGAAACGTTGACCAGTTTGGGGAGGAGGGTAGCATGGGGGGGGGAAACTAAACCCGCCCCCCCTTTCTTTTTTCAAGTACTGTAATCATAGATGCAAAGGCTCTCTCCCCCACCCCCACCACACACAGCCACCCCCCTCAATTAGACAACAGGCTCGGGTGCTTAATTCACTCAACGCAGCTGCTCCAGCCAGGGGGAGCCAATCAAGAGCAAAAGCCCCCTCATTTTAGTCTCGGAGGTTCCTTTCTCCATTTTGGCTACTGTTTGGAGGGGGCTGGAGGGGAAGGGGGGGTGCCAAAATATCCCACAGAAAGCCCCCCCGCCCCCGCACCTTAAGCATTGACCAGTCTCGGATCTGCAGCAAACCTGGCTCCTGTTAAACAAAGGACTGTCCCACCTCCCAGCCCTGACACGCCAGAATTCAGCTCCCGAAGAGCTCCCCCATCCCCGTCCCTGCCCTCGGCTGCATTTGGGGTTTTGGAAAAAGGGGGGGGGGGGGGGCCGCGTCGTGCCGAGAAAAGGCCGCCTCTGGGATCCCACCTCGGTTCAACCTTTAGAACAAAGGGCACCGCGCCGCGCACTCACTCGTGACTCGGTGCAACGCGGCGACCGAGCGGGGTGCAGCCAGGAGGGGGCCCCGCACACACACACACAGCGCCAGGGGAAAGTTTTGTGGGATCAAAGCCCACAGAGAGGCTCCATTTTAGGTCCAGGCTCCGTATGGCAGAAGCTTCCCCGGGACCCCGCTCAGCCCAGCCGTGCTAGGGGAGCCGACTCGAGGGAGGGACTGGAACACATCCCATTCAGTGCAGGAGGCTGAGAAATGGGGCCACACACATACACCGGGGGGGGGGGGAGCCAGGGCTCTGCAATGGAGGCGAAGAGTAAACCCTCCTCTGCCAGCCACTTTAAAGAAACCAAAGCACCAAGGGGCGGCGGGGAGGGGGGGATCCTGGCTTGCTCCCCCCCCCCTCCCCCGACACAGACTGGTGAGCCCCTGAGTTGGGTCCCTCGTGGGGTAGTTTAGCCAAGGCGGGGTGGGGAGCTGCCAGACCTACCTTTCTTTATGTAACAGCGCCAGCCTTTCCTTGGGCACTTTAAGCCTCTGTGACAGTCTCCGCTTCAGTCCTTCCACCGTCTCTTCCACGGGGACGGAGAGCTCATAACGGGTCCCGGTGGTGGTGTTGATGTACAGATTCATGGAGGGCTCGTTCGGGACGGCCTCGCAGGCTGGGGCACCCCGGCTGCAGCTCCTGGCGCTGGGCTGCTGGTCCATTCGGTGACCTGGGGGGGCGGGCAGGGAGGAGCGGTTGGTGTGGCAGGGGGAATCAAGGTCGGGGGGGGGGGGAGGCTTGGGGGACCAAAAAAGGAAGTGGAAGGGAACAAAGGAGCGACCAGAGCGCCTGGTTCTGCTGCGCGCACAGATTCTCACACTCACACACACACACACACCAGCCGGGGTGGGATCGCCTTCCCGAGTCCTCCCTCGCTCCGGTTTAATATCCAAGGGTCACTCCGGATCCGCGTGGTCCTTCCAGGTCTTCCTCGCGCGGGGTTCTAGAGGGGACTTGGTGCGGGAGGGAAGGGGACCAGCTCTCCCTGAACAACACAGCAGTTTGCCCCTATTTAAACCTCCCTCAAAACCTAACCCCCCCCCACGTCACTCTCCCATGGGGAATTTCCCTTCCCCCTCCTCGGATGCCTCCTGAGGACGCGGATCTCGCCGGGAGACGCTGCTGGCAGGGAGGGCTCGCTGTGTGTGAAGGAGAGGGTGCTGCCTCCGTGGTGTGGGGGGTGCGGGAGGAGAAGTGGGGGGTGGGGGGGCAGAAGAAGCTTTTTCCTTCCTGAATCCCCCCCGTTGGGGCTGAACCCGGCAGCCGCCGCTCCGAGCTCCGCCGGTGTCGCGGTGTGAAAGTAACACACGCGCGCGCGCACACACGGTACCAACACACACACACACAAAAAGTTATAATGTATCAACGTTCTATAGGGGGGCGGCGCTTATTTCCCCCCTCATTCACTTCTGAGTCCTTGGCGCAGCCTCCAACCAATCCGGGCGCTCCGAACGTTGAGACAGGCAACCCGGGGCCAATCGCAGCCGGCCCGGTGCTCCCCCACGTGGAAGGCTGACTCCACCCTCCCTTTCAGACCTCTCCCCCCCACCCCAGCCACCCCACTTCCCCCCTCCCCTCCCTTCCCCTCCCCCTACGCCTTTGCCTAGCAGATCCTGACCCACTGGAAACAGGATGGTTGGCTGGTGCCTGGCTAGATTCCTCCCCCCTCCCTCTCCAAGCCACCCCCCCCCTTTTTAAAAAAGCCATTCATAATATATTAGCCTCACAACAAAGGGCTACGCAGAGAAGCCTCGACTCAGCTGCTCCCTGGGCTTGGGAAAGGGGCGGGGGGATTTACAGGCGCGCTCAGAGGCCAGGTCTGCGGGCTGGTCTCCGTCCCGGCGTGGGACGAGACGCCCCCCACCCCACACACACACACAGAGCGATTGCACCTTGCAGCTGCTTCTTCCTTGTTTCTGCGGGGGCTGCACGGGAAAGGCGAGGAATGACCCGAGCCTGCGCAGCCCAGCCATTGTTCTAAGGCGCGGGGAGGGTATTTACAAGATGGAAGGAAATCCTTCGCCCCCCCACTCCCGGAGATAACTCGGAGGAAGGTGGTCGCGGCAGAACACGCCAAGGGTGCAGCTTATGCCAAACAATGGCTGAGCTGCGGCTGTGGGGTGAACGCGGGCCGAGGGTGTAAAAAGCCCCGCTTTGCCGCGGAGGCCTGACTGGGGAAGAGGGTTACCCTTGTCCTCAAGCCGGGAGGGAGCTCTGGGGACGTCTATACACACCTTCCCCCCCCCGGGACTGACCCAGTCCGGCTAGGAGCTGGGGGGAAACGTGGACGCACTTTGCAGCGGCTTTCGCATAAGCCGGAGTGAGCTGAGGTCACGGAGAGAACAAGTTAAGAGAGACAGACAGACAGACACACACCGACGTGAGGGAACCGGGAAAGGGGGGCGGGGGGGGGGCGATGGGGAAACATCCAAATGTTACAAAATCCAGATCCGGACTCAGCAAACCCCAGACTCAGATGCAATCCTCCTTGGGCAAATTCCGGTTCCAGGCAACTTCAGGGTTTTCTGGGGACAAGGGCCGGGTTAGATTTCGGGCCCCCACCCTTCCCCCTAAAGGCCGGAGCTACGGCTCGGTGTTATATGGGGGGGGGGGTTATTAGCAGCAGCCGGAGACGCTGCAGAATGAGTCAGCAAAGCAAGGGCGCCCTCTGCCGGGCGAGCCGGCCTGGAGTGTGGGAAACCCACAGGGACAGTCAGTGCTCTGGGAACAGTGTGTCCTCTGTGCAGATGGGAACGGTCGAGCCACTTAAAAACACACACACACACACACACTCCCAACGCCACCCGACATAAACGCAAAGATACCTGGCGAGCTGCTCCTTTGGCGGTTAAGACGGGCGTTGGCACCAAAAATCGCCTAAGCCCTATTAGATCCTGTGTATAAACAGCCTGGCTACCGAGGGGGAGGTTAGTGAGCCAGCCAGATCCGTGTGTAGGGCCAGAAACGTTGCAAGGAGCACATTAAGCCCTTTCTGGCACCTGAGGGCAGCCGGCTGGGTTCTTCTGGACAATGGGGGTCATAAAAGATCACACAAGGGAGCCGAATTGCTGGGAAACGTGTCCCCCCTCCCCCGGGTGGGTGCTGAGCACTTGAAATATCCGGCCTGAAATAAGTAGCCTTAACTCCTGTCCTAGTCTGGGAAGGAGACAGGATTTATTTCTGATGTTAAACAAAACCAAGCCACACGAGAGCCCCCCCAAGAGCTGGAGTCACCCCCTCGTGACTAGTCTCTGATCTCTTTCTTCCACACAGGGTGTCTCCCATTCTCCCCGAGGCACTGGATTTGAAACTGTAGATTTAAAAAAAAAAATCACCTACAAACTCTCTCAGGGCTTTGTCAGGAAACTTTAAAAAACAAGACCACCCAATCCTGCCAAGTCTCTCAATGACATATGCCTTGTTCGATTAAAGCAGAACTGCCAACGAAAAGTAAGTCCAATCGACTCAGGCTGGCTCCGGTTTCGTTGAAATCAGAAATAAACTTTTTTTTTTTAGGGGGGGGAGCCCTAAGAGACGATTACAAATAGGATCTGGCCGTTGTAGGATTCCTGGAAGGTTTCACCAGAATGGGGCAAGGGAGTTTTCATCCTCAGTTTAATTCGCCAAGGAGTCGATAGATGCAGATCAGACTGTGGTGTGAACCAGGAGCAGCTCAAGTGGATCTATATCGGCAGAGAGGTCAGAATCGGACCCAGCGAAGCTCTCCCCTACAATCCGCCCCCATTCCTTAAAAGACACTGAGACCCCCGTTAAAAAAATGGATTTTTGTGAGTTGCCTTTAAGAGCAAAAAAGAAACCAGCCGGAATCTTGTGTGGTGCCTAGCCGCGTTCCTCGGGGAGCTTCCTCAGTCGCTGGCTTGGTAGAAATCAAACCCCCTTTCTAGAGAGAGACTTGAAATCCTGTCCCCCCAGGGAGAGCACAAACTGACTTACCAGGTCCAGCGAATCCTTCCCCTTCGCCTCCTTTACACTGCGCGCAGCCGGAACGGCTCGGGCCCCCAAAAAGAAACTATATCCCGGTAAAGCACGTGATCCAATCCGGCTCCGAATCGTCCCCCAAGGCAAATAAATCCGGGGCTAGTCCAGAGCTCGCACAACAAGGGGAAAATCCAGCTCCCTTCCCAGCCTGGGTCTCGGGCTTTTGACGCCGCTCCGGGGGAGGGCAGCCTTAGTCTTTAGCGTTGGGGAGGCGCTGGAGAAGTTTTATTCCTCTCCCCCCCGCGCGCACTCTCGCCTGGGTGGAGCCCGAGCGAGGAGCAGCAGCCAGCCTCGGAAAGCCTCCAGCCTTGCCGAGTCAGCAGTGAGCTTGGAGGTGACGCAACTCCCACACCTGCCCCGCAGCGCCGGAGCGCGCCAGCCCCTCTCCAGTAACTCTTTCACAACCCGCGCGGCCCCTGCGGTTCCCTGTTCCGCCTTCCAGTAAAGCGCCGCCGGTGCTGGCTCGCAACTCGCCTCCTTGCTACCCACACCGCAGGGGCGGCCGGCGGGCCCCGGTGCTAGGCGCTGTACCTAAACCGAGCGGAGAGGATTCGCCCTGAAACGTGTATCAGCTGAATAGAGACGAAGGAGGATCAGGGGAAACTGAGGCACAGAGCGGGGAAGTGACTTGCCCGTGGTCTCACAGGCGCAGAGTGGCAGAGGTAGGAGCTGACCACGGGTCTCCCGGCTCAGTGCCTTAAAAGAGGCCCATCCCACAGCCAGGGGTTCTCAACCTGTTTACCATTATGAGCCGAATAGGCATCCACACACTATCTCAATTATTCTCAAACTTTTGTACTGGTGACCCCTTTCACGCAGCAAGCCTCTGAGTCTGACCCCCCCCCCAATAAATTAAAAACACTTTTTGATACATTTAATACCATTATAAATGGTGAGGGCAAAGCGGGGTTTGGGGTGGAAGCTGACAGCTTGCGCCCCCCCCCCCATGTAGTAACCCCTGCACTATATTATATATATACATATGGCCTGTATGGCCCTGAGGAGGTCACAGAGGCCGCAGCTGTGTGCGGATTGGGCTGCAAGCAGCCCACGGCCGTGGGATGAGAACCCTGCTACAGCTCTTTCAGTTTCCCGCTTTCTCATCATAACTTAGCTTTAAAGGGACAGTCAGCCCAGCTAGGGCAGGGGAGAAAAAGACCTTTCGTGGCTCTAAGGCTAGTAGAAGTGTTGCTACGTTTGGTCTGGCTAATAAAGCAAAGCCGGTGTTAGATCAAAGCCCACACACACATCTATGCCCTGGGGCATGAGACCCGCTGCAGCTTTGGGGAACAGACAGGGGCTGGCACTTTCAGAGGCCTCACCCACTCATCTCCTTGCTGAAGGAGGCATAGAGCTTCACAGTGTGCCCCCACCCTCTTTTTGGCAGTGATCAGCTGTGAAATAGTTCACAGCCTTGCCCTGGAAATGGTCACTGTCAGATTTCAGGGCTCATGCCCCTTGGGATGGCATGAGGTAGTCCACCCTTCTCCTAGGACTCAGGAGACATCTCCATCTGGGTTACACGCAGTTCTCGTATTGAAGAGTTTTCTCTGTAACCATAAGGGCTAGGGACTTGTTATTTTTATTTTAATAAAGGCCCAGATTCTGGAGCACTAGCTGGCAGAAGCTAGGAGAAAGTAGCATTGTCCCAAACAATCACCTAGCCCTAGTGCAGGTGACCCAGAAAGTGAAACTGACTAGAAACAAACGTGAAACTGACTAGCCTGGCTTTATGATGCCCTAAGTGAAATGCAGAAAGTAAACAAACCGCAGCACTAGGGGAAAGCAAATCAGATTGTGAAATATATTTAAGGCTGAAGAATCTAACATCCTGTCCTAATGTAAGTCGTATTGAATTACACCTAGTAGCCCAAGTCATGGCCTGGGTCCGCAGTGTGCGAGGCGCTGTACAAAAACAGAACAAAGAGATGGTCCCTGCCCCTCAGAGCCTAAGGGACAGGAGTGGATACAGACAGGGGAGCACAAGAAAACAAAAACCGTTGCTTTGGGATTTTTTTTAATCTGATTTTTAACATTATCCTGTCCCTTTAGTACAAGGCTCCCTACCTATGATGGCTAATGCGGGGACGGCGAGCGGAATCATCTTAAACGAGGCAATCTCACATTGCCGTGGAGATAGGAGGCTGAAAGCAGCATTTCTGCCTGGAGCAGGGGAGAGTTTACCTGCATGGGCCTGCAGCATCCCTTTGTGTAGCCCTTAAAAACTGGTGTCCTGGCAAACGGACCTTAGGAGACGGTTGTTTGCAGCATTGTTGTAGCTGTGTTAGTCCTGGGATATTAGAGAGACAAGGTGGGGGAGGGAATATCTTTGATTAGACCAACTTCTGAGTTGAGCTTTCCAGCTCCACTGAGCTCTTCTGCAGGTCTGGGAAAGGCACCCAGAGTCTGTGTCCCAGCTCCAGGTCAC